TTGATTAGTATAAAAGAAAACTGTCCAAGTGTTCAAAAAAAAGAAGTAAACGAGGATGAAAAATCATTTTTTTTAAAAATAAACCATTTTTTAAAGATTTTAAAAGAATTGTGCTATTCCATTAATATTATCCTTAAGATGTGAATTATCTGAAGAATTTATCATTGTTATCATTTGTTATCATTTATAATACACATCCAATTTAGTCTCTGTAGATTTAATAAGAATTTATTTTGAAATTTCATTTGATTTTAGTTTAGTTTGATAAGAATTCGTTTTGAAATTTATAGGCTAATAATCATCACCCCCATTAATTAATGTTTTCAGGTTTCATTGTCATTTAATAATTCCTTTTACATTGTCGCATCTATTTATTATGAAAATCTCCAATAACTCACACTGGAGAAAATTATCTTTCGTTAGTACGGTAGTTTCGTATTGAAATTCGACAACCAAATTTCAGGAATTTTTATCAGATTTTAAATTTCGACTCAAAAAAAGATACCTTTCAATTGAGCAAAATCTAATGTCTGTATAGCGTACTCCAAATTATTCACATCTAAGTTTAGTATAAAATCCGGATCCGTTTCCGGTGTTGTTTGCATTTCCTTATGCCATAGGAATTCTTGCGTTGTAGCACGGTTAATCAATGCGCTACTTACCTAAATTATTAGTGTGTAATGGTAAAGGATACGAATTATTGATTTTTCAATTAATAACAAAATAATGTCTTTCAGTCATGTAGGCTAACCATTACTTAATGTTGACATGTCACCAAATGACCAAATTGTTTTTTTTTTTAAAGGGTAAAATCTGTTATTCAAACATTCACATATATATTCCTATAAGAAAACTACAACAGAAAATTTCTTTTCTCAACTAGAATTAATGAAAATTACCGAAAAACACATATGATAAGAAAGATATATTTAACAACCGGACGTTCCGATAAACAAACCTGCAAATAAGTTGCCGGATCAGGTTCTTTGAGAACTTCAATACAGAATTGTATGAGAGCAGTTGTCTTTGATAATTTCGTTGTACAACGGCCGATCTGCTCTTTGAATATTCGTCTCTGAAAGAGTAGTAAAACCGGAGAATATCAGTTTTGCATCTGGATCGATGACAAGGCATTGCTTCTTTTATTTGCTATCAAAAAGTTGAGGAAAATCATTTTGTTCATGATAATATCAGTTTCGGAACATTTCCGACAATCGATCCGGATGGTAGCATATCATCGGCAAATATATCGTTAAGTTATCATGTTTATTCCACAATTCTTTTCTTTCGTTGATTTGAAATTCGAATTAAATGACTAAATTTAAAATTCATGTTAAGATTTATATTCCTATTAGCTGAACTCAATATATGATATCACTTGTAAATAGGCTTTTTGTTAACAGTTTTAAAATTGGAACTGTCAATAGTGTCAACAATTTCACTAACAATTCTGATAACTTAGCCACCTTAAATTCTTTCTCTTCCTCCACATATTGTAAAAGCTTTTGTTTTCGTTGTTGCAATTGCTCAATCAGTGAATCAATTTGTACTGTTAATCGATGTTGAAAATCGAAACAATTTACCTGAAATTACTTAAAGTGTGCTTTGAATATCATATGATAATAATGATAGGGTATTGATTGATTGATTGTATTTAAAGAATTTCAAGTATAATCAAAATTTCGAAAATTAAACTTTCCCCAAATATTTTAACTAACAGAAATAGTATCGTTGAGTTGTTTGAGCCGTGTGATATCTTCCGTAGCATGTTTGGCTTTTTCACTTAAAAGTTGCAAAATTTGTGATAATTCAGCCTGAAATAAAAAAAATATGAGGAAGTTATTGTTGAAAAAGAACTTACAGTAATGTTAGCAACCCTATTATTGATTATTGTTATTATTATTATTGCTTATTATTATTGCTTTATTTATTATTATATTTATTTATTATTGTTTATTGTTACTGTCATTATTATTATTATTATTATTATTATTATTACTATTATTATTATTATTACTATTACTATTATTGTCATTATTATTATTGTTATTATCATTATTATTTATTATTACTTTTTACTTATTGTTATTTATTATCATTGTTGTTATTACTATTATTATTATTACGATTATTATGATTACATACAAGTTTATTCAAATCATTATTCGTTATATATGTATGTTTATATTTGTTTGGTGTGGATAATAAGAAGCATTATTTCATTTAATTATATCGTTGAAATTTGTGTTCCGCAAAAAATATTGATTGATTGATTGATTAAAGCAAAATTTGCTAAATGATTAAAACTCATTTGCGCCTGTTTGCATCGCAATAGCAATGCACATTTCATCATTTTGCTATTGTTAGATTAGTTAAATAGATCGAAGCTAATTAGCGCAAATGACATTTCACTCGTAATGATATCAAGCCAAAATTGTCCATCAATCTTGCATTATCTGAGATTTGTGACAGTGGTATTTGCTAATTGTTTCCAATTCTTTCAATCAATTCTCAGATTATCCCTATCTTGGGAAAGAACCTTTAGTAAGCCAGAGAATTGCATATTTCCTTACTGGAATTAAATTTATCACCTATAATCACAATTTGACATTTCAATTTTTGCCTGATATACCACTGTTAAATACTTTTTAATAAAATACTTAAATAATCCGGAGTACTTGAAATCATTTAAAAAATGTTGAAATTAATATCAGGAATGCAATATTAATCAGTGTAACAATCCTGTGAACAAACATCTTTACAGCTGTACTTGTTGATTGATAAATTTTTGCTAAATTTCACATCTGTATTACTAATTGATAAATTTAAAAAGTGATTGATAAAAATTCTCTATAGCTATATTTGCTAATTTGATAAATTTCTGATCAATTTGACATCTGCTAATTGGTAATTTTAAAAAATGATTAAAATTTTTGGAGAAAAAAAATGAAATGAAAAATTGAATACTTTTAATCCGTAGTAAAAATTTTTTTGCATAATTTTCATAATTGTTTTACCGTAACAGAATAGAAGATCCCTCTCTTTTCTTTTTTTTTGCAAAGCAATTTCATGAATAATTCATATATTTTCATAATTTTTATTCAATTTTAAAAGAAGAAAAGCAAAAAATCATCTTTTGTATCATTTTTTCCACATCTTCAATCCTATCTTCACATTCATCTTTACACAGCTGGTGGGAGATTAAAATGATAAATTAACAGATGGCGGTAGCTACTTTTCACTTTTATTGAATATATATATATAGATGAAATTATGAAAATCAACGATGCGATCATCGAAATGATAACCTAACAGATTTATTATCACTCATCGTTCCTTATGATCAAAATGATAAGTTAACAGGTGGTGATAATTATTTTACATTTCCACTGAATACATATATATATAGGTTAACAGATTTGTTATCACTTATCGTCCCTTAATGTGTCATCAGTAGAAATGATTGATTATTTGAATAAAATTTTAACTTGTAACTTTGTTCAATTTGTTGGCTTCTTCTCTTTTTCCTTTTTTTTTGTAAATTCAATAAAACTAATTTTATCGGAATAATGGAAAACGAAAGGAAGGATGTTCAATTTTATTAAGCATTTTATGATTCGTATGACAACAACTTTTCAATCTATCCAACATTTTCGGATATGTAACTTTCAAAAACAATAAATTAATCCTTCCATTTTTCCGTTTTAATTGAATGTCACCAAGCAATTGACAAATGAAACAAACCTTTAAATTCGGAAAATTATTTTCCTCTGAATAGTTTAACTTTTAACAATCTCATAATAAAGATGTGCGCATGCGTGTATATATATATATATATATATATATATATATATGTATATGTATATATATGTGTGTGTGTGCGTGTGTGTCATGATAAGTTAAAAAATCATTAAAAATTTGACTAACTTTTTAAATTTTCAGAAATTTCATTTTTAAATACTTTGGAAGTTCAACTTCGATTAATTAAACATGTATAAAGGAGGGATAAAACACGCATAAAAATGAATGAAAAAATTTTGATTTCTACAAAATGTTTGCTTACTACTCGTTCAGTCGATGTTTTGCTTTCTGGCCAAGGTTTGAGGATTTTATGGAGCAATAAAAAGAGTAAAAGCCTGGGAGTAAATTAGTATGAGCTGTTTCCTCATATTGATTTGTCACCGTTCCTAGGCTGTTGGCAATTTAATGACCACATTTTAATAGCCACCCAAATGGTTCAATGCGGGAAAGAAGAAAAAGAAAATTACATGCTTACTCAGGCTTGATTAACCATTCGAATGAGCCGTAGCTGTCATATCAGATAACCCTCTATTCTATAATCCAAAATTATACAATTTCTTATCTAATTCATCATCAGGTCAGCTGCTGATTCATCCATAAATTGGCCAGTTGCAGTATTAAACAGTATTAGTCATAATTTGCCAAAGATTTCAAATTTATTATTACTAATTAGTTGACATTAATTCTTTGCTAAATTAGATTGTCACAAATTAAATTTAAATAAGCTTTAATTTATTATGAAATTGAAATTGGAATAAAAAGTTAAAGGAAAAAATTTCTTGTTTAAATGCCAATAAATCATCAAGATCTTTTCCCTCTTTTACTTGAAGTTATCGATAAAAAGATTAAATTTTCGAGCGCAAAATAGTCAATACGTTAACCTTCCCATAGCATCCCATAATTAAATAGAATAAAATGTGAACAGACAGAGACACACAGGTACAGACACAGACACACATACCACATAAAGCTTTAAATTTCATTTCTTTCAAAAAATTTGAAACTTCTATAAGTTTATCAATCATTTTTCAGATTATTGGAAATGTTTAATTATTAGAATTCCTTTTCACTTCTCTCTCTCTCTCTCTCTCTCTATTTTTCATTAAAATTTGATTTATGTTTACGTTTCAAATTAAACGCAAGATTTTCACGTAATTTACGTTGATCGCAATAAATTGACACATTTCCTCCCTCTTCCTTTCTCCCTCTCTCTTTCGTTAGGAAGAGTTTATTAGTATCTTAAAATTTTTAATCCTTTTATTGATAGCATATAATGGCTTTTATAATACTGTAATTAACACTGTAATACGATTAATTGTAAGAGTGAAAGGTAATAAAAATTTCACACATTCCCTCTCTTCCTCTTCCTAACCCTATGGTGTTAATTTTACCCTTTACCTTTTACCCTTTGATCCTAACCCATTTCTGTCTGATAAGTCTTTTCCTTTCCCTCTCTCTCTCACCTTGTAGCATATTAAGAAAAGATCAAAGAGAAAATGATGACAAATTAGCTTATTGTTAAGAAAGCTATTTAGGAAAGCTTTTGAAATACAATTCAAATATCTTCCTTCCCCCCTTCTCTCTCTCTCTCTCCCTCTGTTTTACCTCGAGAACAGCTGCACGATTACTACTTCATCATAAATCTTATGGTAGGAATGATTTCTGTAAAACACGACAGTGATATATATACGACGATTGACTTGAGTATTTGGTGAATAATGTCAGATCACTGTCATTGTCATTGTCAATATTTCTTGAACATTTTAAATCAATACATATCAGCTGTTCAAATTTTACTCCTTCGATATTATTCGGATAAATTCTTTTACCAATAAATTAACATTCCCTTCCCTTTTTTACCTTTTCTATGATTGGCTATTCTAAAAGGTATAATCTTGATAGGATTTCCTCCCCCGGGAAAAATGAATCATTTCCATTTCCAATATATTTTTTTCCCACTCATAACTCTTACATTATTTTTTGCTTAGTTTTTTTTTAGAACTGAAAATTTGAAATATTCAAATTTTGTGAAAACTTGAAAAATCAGGTTAAACTATAAGATAGAAAGATTGGAGATGAACATATGTTCCAAATAAAAGGTCATCAAAAAGTCAAAAAGGTGTATTGTTAAAGGAGAATGATGTGGAAGGAGGAATAAAAGAAAACAAGATACGATATCGCATTGTAAATCTTTGTTACGGTATTCCTTTCATCTCACCAAAGGTCAAAGTTGTAAACCCTTCTAAAATTTCACACCTTTCAAAGACTAATAAAGAGAAGATTGTAACCTTAAACTAATCCTTTCATAGCTTTACGACTACTTTTCATAGCTTTACCTTTCATAGCATTACAACTATTACTTATTTGAAATGCTATTTGAGTGTAAATAAGATGAAGTATATATGTTACATCCTAAAAATATAACAAATTTGAAATATGAAATGATAATGGAATATGGAAATGAATTATGGAATTATCATTAAGAAATAATGCATTACCACTTCTCTCCCAATCAAAATGATAAAATTGATATCACAAATAAATATTAGTAATAAAAAAACGAACTGAAGAATTTTTTTCGTTAAAATCTATCGTTTTAATTAAATAAATAAATAAATCATTTTTGACAGTTTGGATAAAAATATAAAAATTTTCCAGTAATAAACATCCATTCATATCTGAACATATGGCTGCTGATTAATTTGATAATTATAATTACTAAAAAGCGTNAATGATAAATAATAACGGTAATAATAATT